CGGGCTCTGGGCTGGAGGGGCACAAAGACGGGAGCTGGAGACCCCCCGGCTCATCACCTCTCTCGGCACGGCTCTGGCCAGCATCCACCCAACCTCTCCTCCTTGAGCCGCTCAGCGCTCTTCCCTATTTTCATGGGGATGCTAAAACCAGTGAGCCCCAAAGGGCTGCAGGATTTGGAGGGGCCTGAAGATCCACGTTAGCTCCATGTGTGCTCGGGTACGGTAGGGAAGGCGATCTCTGGGGAGCGAGGGCTGGGAACTCGCCAGGGGAGATGCAGTCAGCCCCCAGAAAGGCTGTGGACCCCAACGCAGAGCTGCAGACCCCCCAGCAGGGCTATGACCCCCATGCGTGGCCGTGAACCCCACGGCCCTCCGGAAAAGGCTGTTATTGCCACTAGATGGCAAGCTGAGCCCAGCATCCCCGCACAGGCGACCACCCCTTTCAGGAAAACCCAACCTTGGGGGAACAACCCTCGTCCCCTCGCTTCACTTCGGTCCCGCAGCCCCCCAGGACACCCATCAGCCTGGAGAACCATCCACGGGGCCGCATCTCCTCGCGTCATGGAGCAAAGGCATCAGGCATTTGGAAAAACTGGTGGTTTCAGCTTTTTCACGCCAATTCAAGAAGAGAAGCAGCCTGGCTCACACCCGCGCCGAGGACGTGGACCCTCAGCATCTCTTCTTGGAGGGGGGGGGCCTTTCCCAGCATCACTCAGTTTTGTGGATATTTCCTCCCCACCACGGACCGCTCTGATTACTGCAGAACTAATTTGACTGGGAGCGGAGTCTGTTGCACTGAGCACATTTATCTGAGCAAGGTAAAACTCAGGAGATAGGAAACTCGTTTGCAAGGGTTGATGAGTGCAGCGAGATATACAGGCGCTCCGCGCAGCCCCGGGAGATGGATGGAGCCGAGGGAGCCCAGAGCAGCTGTGCCTGAAGCACGTTTATAAATCTCAGCCTGTATCCCCCGTTGTGCCGTGCCAGCAGCCAGCTGCAGGCTTCGGAGGGGATAATATACAGAGCCGAGGTCTGACACGTGGGTCTCCTTCGGAAAGAGAAATGAAATGCAGGTCTTCTCTTCCCCCTCCTCCTCCTGGAAAACGTTGGGTGCTCCGGTGGGAGAAGGTCGTGGGAAGACACGGCGCCAACACACGGCCAAGACCTACAGCCAGCTCGTCCCGGTGAGCAGGAGAGGCTGGGTCCTGCCTTCGAGGAAGGTGCTGGGGACCTGCCTTAACACGGATGTGGCCGGGACGCAATGCCAGAGACAACGCTGGGTAGAAACAAGCAGCAAAACCAACTGCCGGGAGCCCGCAGCCCACGCAGGGAGAGAGGGGGATGCTGATCCCAGGCATCCCATGGAGGCTGTGCAGAGGGTGATCTTCACCCCCCACGCCTCCTAACGTGGCTTTTTTTGGCAGGCAGGAACCTGTCCCCCCCTCTCCTTAATACCCAGGGAAGCTGCCAGCTGTGTCCCGTGCCCCAGCCCAAACCCACCATCCCCAGGACACCTCCGTGAAGCCACCGCGGGATGCTCCCAGGAGCCGCAGAAGGACCAAGCAGCAGCTGAGGGACCAGCAGCCCCAAATCAGACCCCATCCCAGGGACCAGCTCATCCCTCCCGGCCACAGGAGCAGCTCCCTCTGCCCTCCCCGCCGCGCAGCCAACGCCGGTTCAATCCCTCTTTGAAGCCAGCGGAGAACACGTACCGCTGGAAGTTAATTGCACGACAAGCCACTGGAGGCTCTTGCGCATCCCAGGGCTGGCATGCAATATTAGAAAGGACGCGCTGGCATTTTTTTTTTCCCCGTCGCCACGATCACAGGAGAGAGATGAAAGATGAAGGGGCGAAGCGAGCTGGCACACAGCCGTCCCTCCCTTCCCTGTTGGAGTGTCAACCCTCCAACACTCACCAGCCTATATTTAACCCGCTGCAACCAATCATACCAAATCCTCTCCTAATCCTCCAACAATAACCCAGGACAATTTAAACCCCGGGGATAGATCCTAAGCAGCTTTTTTCACCCGACGTGTGCCCCTCCCGCAGCAGGATGATGAGCAGGCACGGGCAGGGCAAGGGCGGGCAGCAAGGAAGCAATGCCTTCGCGTCCCCGAGGCTGGAGATGCTCATGCACAAAGAGCCGGCAGCGATGCTCTTGCGCAGGAAGAATCCCACTCCAGCACCACCTGGTTCCATGGGAAGGTGACACCTTGGATGCTCTTAAGCAATCGATACCACCCAAATCTGGGTGCAAATTGCTCAGCATCCCGGTCACCGAGCGCTCATGTCACTGCAGAGTCCCACCCCGGCAAGAAAAATTAATGGTGGGTCAACGGTGCCGGGTTGCTGTCTAGGAAGATGGCGTACGAGATTATCCATCTTTACAGGATTAAGAGATGAAGGGAGCTGGGGGATGCAAAAAAGTCACCGCCTGGTCCTTGTATGGTCCCCGCGTGGGTGCTCTGCAGCAGCAGAGCTGGGGCTTGATGAGTGCACCCAGCTGGTGGGGGAGTGGGAAGGACAAGGACAACGCTGCATGAAGTCCTCCATCCCAATGCAGCCCTAAATTAGACCAGACTAAGTCTTTCTGATTGATAATCCCTGCTGCGGTGCAGCTCTTCCATGTTAAAATGTAGGTGGTGGTGTCTGCTTGCAGACTGGGGCCGTGGGCACCAGGAGCCATCGCACTGGGGGGAAATGTGACCCAGGTCCCCTCGAAGCACCCAGGCGCCTGGAGGGACCTGGGGCATGTTTCCCCCCTTTGCAAAGACGAAGCCCCCAAGTCCAACCAAGAACATCTCCAAACCCTGCTGAGAAACCGGAGTGCCAGCACCTGCGGTGAGCAGGGATGCTCTAGGTTCGAGACAGAGCTGGTTCACCGCGTGGCTCAACATCACCCAGCCATGATGCTACTGAGCTGTCTCCAGCAAGGGCACGTCCTCAAGAATTGTGGGGACTGCTAGGGTGCTTGGAGGAGCATCCCCAGCCTTCTGGGGAGCAGGATGTTGCCTCTCCAGCTGGAGAGGACACCTGCTGAGAGCTCTGCTAGCTTTCTGCTAATTTTGGGGTGCAGGGGACCTCTGCAAGGCAGCGGGACAACAGCCGGTGGCATTTCCCACCTGAGGAGAGGCAGTTTGCCTGCAGGTCCATGAACCAGCTCAGATCCAGGATCGGTGTAGCCCCACATCCCATCTGCACCAGTGAGCAGAAGCAGGGATCCATCCTGCACTGATCCTGCTCCAGGGCACCACCAAGCCTCCAGCACTGGTAGGCGTTCAAGGTCCTTCTTCCATGAATTTCTCCTCCAGCTCCATCACCTTCGGGATGCCCCTTCTTCCATGACTTTCTCCTCCAGTTGCATCATCTGTGGGATGCCCTGGTTTTAGGTTGCCCCTTCTTCAACGCATTTCCCCTCCAGCTGCAGCACTTTTGGGATGCTCCAGCTTTGCCATAAGCCCTGCTTGCGTGCAGGGAGCCTGGCCTGACCCGTAGTACTCAGGCTTTAGGACACAGCACCCAAAGCTGTTGCATGACCAGGATGACCATGTTGCTTGACCATGCTGCTGCTGCTGCTGCTGCCAGGAGAACAGAAGACACCTCGGGGCAGGGGATGACAGCACAAGGGCCACCTCGCCCAGCGAGGAGAGAGATCACTCAGCTGTTACCATCACGGGCAAAACCAACTCAACTGGGGAAGTTAATTTAATTTATTGCCAATCAAATCAGAGTAGGATAATGAGAAACAAAAAACAAATCTTAAAACAACTCCCCCCAACTCCCCTCCCTTCTTCCCAGGCTCAACTTCTCAACTTCACTCCCCAGTTCTCCTGAGCGGCACAGGGGGATAGGGAATGGGGGTTGCGGTCAGTTCGTCACACGTCATCTCTGCCGCTCCTTCCTCCTCACAATCTTCCCCTGCTCCAGTGTGGCATCCCACCCACAGGAGACAGTCCTCC